TCACTGATATGATCTTTAGCATAATCCAGTCTCTTTTTTTCTGTACTTCTTGCTTGTTTTGCAGGGAGGAGAGAATAGACTTTACTGCATTATTTGTGAAATTTTTGCCCCACACAAAAATTAAGTAAAATGAATACAAATGGGTTCATACTTACCTGAGTATTCTTACCTTCTGCTTTTTATTGCTTCATTTTAAGTACTTGATCCATAAGTAATAAAGATGAATTCAGTTTGAGAACTGTTCATCATCATTATGGGAGAGGGAGGGGTAGTGTGTTGCATGCAAACACGTCTTTATTTGTAAATAGAGATAAGTTCACTATCATATGTACAGAAATAACAGTAAATTATTTGTGTGGAGGAAGAACAGTGAATATCTGAGGGGGGTTCCCTTTAATTACGCATTTATACGGGGCGTGTGATACGCGACAGCACACGGACCCCTGTATGCCAGTGGAACCTGTCAAAAGTTGGTCAAATGCAACAATGAAGGAAGATGCACCTTTAGTGGATTTTATTTTTATTTTATCTGTGGTAAGTTTATCAAAGATTCACACATTTTCTCTCTGAGATTACATAAATTAAATAAATGCATTTTGAAGTTTTATTCTTCCTGCAGTGCTACAAGTCCTGATGACATCTAACTTTTCCATAGCTCTTTATCTAATCAGAAAAATACCTGTTTTACAACAGGATTTCATTTGCATTCAATATGAAAATATACAAGAACTTTTCTTATTACTTTTTTCTTAAAAGGAATAAAATATTCAGACACTCGAGTGTAGAAAAACATCTTTTTCTCAGACGCTGTAAACCAGATGACAGGGAGAGCTCACTCCCACTCACAAAAACCACAATCAGAACTAATTTCCTCTAGATTTCTTTCCTCCTCTCCATCACATTGTCTTATACTACATACTGACTGAACTCAACAAAGAAATCCAATCTATTACTTACCAAGCAACAAGAGACCATTGCAATGCATGTAAAACAACAACAACAACAACAACAACAACAAACAGTTACAAACATCAGACAGATCACTTCTCAGTTCTACCAATAAATTCATAAACAGAAAGATGGGAAAAAAGTAAAATACAAATTTAAAAAACAATGTGTTGCTGATACAGACATTAGCATCTACATCCTCTTGTTTTGTTAGTTCTTAATTGGAGTACAAGTGGTTTGTCATCATCAGAATCTATCTCAGTGTGTTCATTGGATATACTGCATTTCTCAACAAGTCCCTGCTTATTTACTTCAAAGGACACACTGTCCAGCCATCAGGAAAAAAAGGGGGATGGTATGGAGAGATGGGAAGAACAAAAAAAAGACTACATCTAAAACCACACTGTGTCGCTGTTTATCAGTCATGAAAAATCCAGCACCAGTGAGGTAAAAGGCCATTTTTCTATTTCTTCATTTGTGTTTTGCACAGGACATTTTTTAAACAACAAAACATCACAGTTCAGAAAATAATAAAACACACTCCTCCCCTTTAACTGACCCTGACCCTAAAGATTTATCCATTAGACATATTTCACAAGTCTTTGGCAGAAACAAAAGGCCATTGACTAGAACAGTTAGAACTATAGATAGGCTTCCCTATCATTTTCTTCTTAACACTTATAATGTGAGAGAGAAATCAGCCACGTTATTCCACTTTACTCTGTTCTATATAACTGATATCTTGATGCATGCTCAATCATCCAGGTAAAGAAATCTCAAAAAGTTGATTCTGTTCATCTGGACGTAGCGTTTACAGTGAGAGAGAGAAATTTTTCGTCACTCATCCAAGTGACTTCTTCAGTCTCAGCTCACTGCAGGTTTCCCCAACCTTATAAACAGTACATTTGCATAATGACTGAAACTAGCACCACTGGTGAAGAATGGGCTGTGAGGTCAGCTTTTGATAATTAATATGATCAAAGACCATCCATCATTGGCCGTGAGACCATGACTGACGAAGCATTTCTCCCTCTGAAAACGCTACATCCAGACGAACAAAATCAAGTTCTTGGGGTTTATAACTGAGAGCGTGATTACAGAGAACTTTAATTACATTATTGAAAAAGTATGAATTTCTGAACTAATTATGTTGTTAATTCAGATGAACACTTTTACAAAAGTGACTACTTACTATGAAATACAATAGTTAACACAATTTCACACCTGTGAAGGTATATTGTTTTATAGATACATGTAATAGTTTGATTTGTCAGTTAGTGAAGCTACTTTAAATTACTTTACCTGTGACACAATGTTAGCTGTGAGTTCATGAAACTTCATAGAGTATATAAAAGGAGTACATATACTGTCAAGTCAAGTGTTGGTTTAAGTAATTATCATCTTGTTTTGTGAAACCAAAGTTATCAATTTGAATGAGAGATTGAGCTGAAGGGCACACAATAGTTCTACATGAGATCCTTTTTTCACTGGTAGTGACAAAGCATAACATGCTTTTTCTTTTGACTCTAAATTGGACTACAGTTTATTTGACAAACATAATGTTTTACTGGAGGCAACTTAAAGGTAGTGATTGACTAATAACCTAATTGAGAAAATATTTATTGAGACCATATACACATCTCATTTCTTTCGGTTAATGGCGTTACACCGTGCTAGCCATGAAAAAGAATGAAGGTTCAAGGCACTTCCACATTGGCCTCTGTTTTCATACATGGGAGCTTTGTAAACTTTTAATAAAGTCTACGCTTACCTCACGTTGTCTGCTTGCTTTCAGCAGCCATAGACAAAGGTCATGCTAAGTCAACCATACATTCAAGTGACCTCAAGATTATAAGAATCAGAAACTGTACAGACAAAGGTCTAAACCCAACCCTAACAAAATCCTAACAATGTATGTCAGCATTTGTCTGTGTAAGTGTGTAAGATGCTGTACTAAAAACAACACAAGTATTCTAACAAGATATAATTCCTTAGGTCCTATTGATCTCACTATTCAAACTTTGTTGCTGAAAAACATACTTTAAAGGCTTTTGTGGGATAATCATCTACTTGTACAATATCTCGTGCAACTTTATGCAAAATATATAAGATGTACAAGACAAGAAAAAACAAAAATATAACGTACATAAGTATTTGGTGAATACTTTGTTGAATCACTTTTGGCAGCAATTACACCCTCATGTTTTTTTTTTAGTATGATGCTCCAAGCTTGACATACCTACTTAAAATTTCTCCCATTCTTCTTTATGAACCTTTCAAGCTTCATCAGGTTGGATGTGGAGAACTGGTGAACAGCCATTTTCAGATCCTTTCAGATATTCAGTCAGCTTCAAGTCTAGCCTCTGGTTCAGGACATTCACAAATTGGTCCCAAAGCCACTCCCACTCCTTTGTTATCTGGGCTGTGTACTTAGAGTCTTGATCCTTGAGGTTCAAAGTGCTCTAAAGCAGATAATCATCAAAGATTTCAATGTAGATTCCTGTATTAATCTTTCCCTTAACCCTAAACTAGGCCTTACAGTTTTCCACCCTGACTCCTGCTGGCAAAAAACATCCTGACAGCATGATGCTTCCACCACCATGCTTCACTGTAGTAATTATATTGGCCAGGTGATGAGCAGTTCCAGGGTTACATAAGACATGACACTTTGCATTCAAGCCAGAGAATTTTGTTTCTCATGCTCTGAGAGTTACCTGAATAGTGCCTTTTGGCAATAATACTGTTCAGATTGGCTGAGCAGCCAGCTCTGGGAAGAGTCCCGGTGACCTTCAATGCTGCAGAAGTTTTTCTGTACCCTTCCCTGATGTGTTTGTCAATACAATCCTGTCTCGGAGATCTACAGACAATTCTTTGGACTTCATGGCTTAGCCTGGTTTGTCTATTAGTTCACAGTGCATGTCAGTTTACATTCACTGAAAACTATGGGACTATATACAAGTATGTATGTAAATAAACTACCAGT